GTTTGATTTTTATACTTGATTTATATGTGAATCCCATATTTCTCCCTTATTATTATTGTTATTATTATTTTTTTTTAATAAAGTGCTGAAGTGGTAGGTAGATGCAAGATAAAGGTAGAAAACATAGTTTAGTGCTGTAAGAGGGCAAATGTAGATGATCAGGTGTGTGCCTGTAGACTATGTGCTAATCCAAGCTAGACAAGGGCAACAAAACATCCACGGATGCAGAAGATTTCTCTCAAAACAGGGGTGTGTGTAGGGACCACTTTTGTCTAATTTGCTAATGTATACCCAGTACCCAGAAAAATATGGTCATGTGGTTGAAAAGTTCAGTAAATCCCTATTAAATAAATATACAATTAAATTAAGTTATACATGAAATGTATATATGCAAAATCAATTGCTGATAAGGTGACATAAAAATCTGAAGACATGAGAAAATGTGCAATATTATTATAGTTAAAGGCTCTGAACTGCTTAATAGGTGAAATAAAGAATAATTGGGCAAATTAAGAGATAAGGAGGGATGTTTTAGATCCCTGATTAGCAATCAGAGAAAAAGAGAGTACTTACTCAAAAGGAGGCTGACTTTCAGCATTGTTCCTTTTAAATCTACCAGATCTTTGTATGATTAAAATTACTCACATCTTTGAGTGACATCATCTTCAAGCATGGTAATTTTCTTCTTTTTATCTGATGTTCTAGCCTCTATCCAATTCTGAAATTTATGTCTCATCTCTTGCTTAGTAGATTTTCATAAAATTTTAATAATCTCACATGTGTATGTGTTTATTCACACAGCAATTCCCTGGTCACAAAGAGTCCCTACTCCCATGCCTACCCTTGCAACACCACCTCCACAATGCTAATTCCTTCTCATCCTGTAGAATTAAATTTATGTCACTTCTCTGAGAAAGTCTATGTTGGATGCACCTGTTTGGACCTCTTTAGCCTCTGTGCTTCCGCTAGAGTGGCACTCACTGCCATTAAGTGTAATTCCAATATTCATCTGCTTCTTTCAAAGCACTGAATGCTGTGTGAGCACAGGACAATGTCACATCTGTTCACTATTGCATGCATCCCTGAACCCTAGCATTGCATCTGCAATACAGTAGATGTTTGATATACATTCTAAGTTAGGGCATAAAATAAGAAACCATGTGGTTACTTACATAACTATAGCAGGGTATAAGAATGCCAATTGGGATTCATTCTTGCTAATACAGGTTATATACTTCGTTACATCTTTGATAAATTGGCATGAAAAGTATCTTGGTTTAATGCTAAGTACAGTTGGAATTTTTTCTTCATTTTTGCTGTTGCTGTCTGTATTACATTTGGAATACTCACCTCTTTGTGTCCTTGGTCTATTTATTTAGCAAAAAGTTATTTGCACTGTTTCTCCTTTTAAAAAATCTACTGCATACCTGTTACAATGGCTCTTTTCAAAAAAGACAAGAAATAATAAGAATTGGTGACAATGTAGAGAAAAGAGAACATTTGTGCACTTTTGGTGAGAATGTAAATTGCTGTAGTCACAATAGACACAAATATAGAGGTTCCTCAAAAAATTAAAAATAAAACTAACATATGATCCAACAATTCCATTTCTGGGCATTTATCTAAAGGCAAGGAAATCACTATCTCAAAGAGATATCTGTACATCCATGTTCATAGCAGCATAATTCACAATAGCCAAGGCATGGAAAGAACCCAAATGTCCATCAGTGAATGAATGGATAAAGAAACACACAATGGAATATTATACAAACATGGAAAAGAAAAACTCTGCCATTTATGGCAACATGGATAAAACTGAAGAGCATTATGCTAAGTGAATCAAATGACACAAAGAAAGGCAAATACTGTATGATCTCATTTGCATGTTTAATCTAAAAGAAGAAACTGGACTCACAGATACAGAGGTGGTTGTCAGAGGCAGGGTTTGGGAATGGGGACAGGTGGGCAAAACGCGTGAAAGTTGCTGAAAGGTATAAACTTGCAGTTACAAAATAGTAAGTCCAGGAGATGAAAAGTATAGCATGATGTCTTGTACATCTGAAAGTTGCTAAGAAAGTAAAAAAGTTCTTATTGCAAGAAACAAAGTGTAACCACGTGTGGTGAGCATGTTAACTTACTGTGGTAACCCTTTCACAATATATACATTTATCAAATCATTATGTTACATAGGCACATCTCCTTTTACTGCACTTCATTTCATTGCACTTTACAGATACTGCATTTTTTACAACTTGAAGGTTTGTAGCAGCCCCGTGTGGAGTAAATCTATCGGCATCATTTTTCCAACATTTCATGTTTCTGTGTCACATTTTGGTAATTCTCATATTTCAAATATTTGTTATGGTTATCTGTGATCAGTGCTTATTGCTGAAAGTTCAGATGATGTTAGCATTTCTTTTTAGCAAAAATGTGTTTTTAATTAAGATATGTACTTTTCTGAGACATAGCTACAGGTTTAATAGACTATGATGTAGTGTAAACATAGCTTTTTTATGCTGTGGGAAACCAAAAAATTCATTTGACTGGCTTTATTGTGATAATTCATTTTATTGTGGGCTGGAACCACACTGGCAATATCTCCAAGGTATGACTGAATACATAAACTAATGCAATGTTGTATGTCAATTATATGTATCAATAAAAAATAAAATAAATAAAACCCTGCTAGATATTATTGCATTTTCTTGGTGTATTCAAAGAAGTGGCTCTTGAAAAAATATTATTTATACTGTTTTTCTGTATTATTTTTTCTGCTAATTTCACTTTTACATATTTCCTCTACATTATTGTGGTTGATCATTATTTGCCATGTTTGGTTATGTTTTTGCTATGTGATGGAGTAAATCTTTCATAATATTTTGAGTTTCTTAATTCATATATCAAACACTTATCAAATGTGTACATATGCCAGTTCCTATGTTAAGCATCAAGGAAACAGTGAAAATGATAGATACAGCTTTTAGCTTTAGTCTCTCACAATCTAGGAAGAGAAATACAACCTAAACTTTTTAATAAACAACATGTGTATGTTGAGTGTTCGGTGTAGGGTGCTACTGGAGGTAATACTAAGAGAACATGCTGTGCTTTGAAGAATGGAAGATTATTCCTACTGGAGGTGTTCGTGGATTAATCAGGTAAAAATAAAGGTGGAGGCAGTCACAGAAGGCTTTTCAAATGGAGAAAATATTTAACTGTTTAAGAAGTTCATTTAAAACATATCTTTCCTATTTAATAATGATAGTACAAAAAATCACTTATTTTCCTCTCTCAGAATAACTTTTATCAGGTGGAATATTTTATATAAAGTTTATGAAGATCGTTTTTGCCCTCGGTGGCTTTAATAAAATTAAGTTAATTACAGTGAAATATGTGTGTGGGTGTTTGTAAAGTGAGGTTCCAGTTCACAGGACAGACTGCTAAAATGTCACATTATGAGGACTTACGAACCCTTTCCCAGCCACAGCTGTCATCCAAACTAGATCATCAAGGATCTCCAGATCCCCTTCTGAATGACGTCTCCAAGAGCCTCGTAGGGGAGCTTTCTGGAAAATTTGACAGACTCCAACATTTTCAATTGAGCCCAGAGGTGAAAATTCAGATACTGAATATTCCCTCTCTGTGCCACAAGCTGCTGTCCCTACAGAACCAGGTATTATGAATTAACTCTTTCCATGATCGGGAAGCCTCGTTCTCTAAGTCTGGCTGCCCTTAAGATAGCATTGGAGTCCCGCTGTCCTGCCCACGCGTCTCGCTGGGGCCAGCTCATTTCACACGATCCTGTCCTCCGGAGGTCCACTCCTCTGTGGCATGGCTGATGTGCCAAGTTAGTGAGCTTGGGGCAGCTTTGGAGTGTTTCTCCCTGTCTCTCACAGCAGAGAGGAAAGTGAATGCAAACACTTGGGGAGGTGAGGGGATTGCTTTCCCAGTGACGTCTGGGTAACTGAAGGAAGGGTACAGGAGTTGCTGCAGTCAACCCTGCAGTGAGGAAAGTATTAGGGCTGTAGAGAAAATGCCCAGCACCCTGCTGTGGTAGGAGCGAGAGCTGTGCTCTGCTCCAGAATTGGAATCTCCTGGATAGCCCCATAATTTTAAATTTAAAGGGGTAGATTTGATTCTGCAGAAAATTTTTAGGTGAGGGGAGGCAAAGATTTTAACAATTCTGAAATTTCTTAACAGACGCTGACCTTGGCTCTGGGTGGGGGGTGGCACCAAAGCCAGGTAGGCCCTGCCAGTTACGGCAGGAATCCTCCCTCACCTCCAAGGGGGGCTTCACGTGAGGTCTACTAACTGAGATGGATGGGTTCCATCTCAGCATGAGGCTTCCCAAACATTTTTAGCCCCTGCACCCACCTATTAATACCATTAAGTGTTGGGAATCCTGGTTTCTAATTCAGACCGTAACTCCTTCACCCGACTATTAATTTTCGGTTTCTTTCTTTTTTTGGTGGGGGAAGGGGCTGGTGATGTGACAAGTTTCCCTCATTATCCGTCTTCCTCAGAAAAGGTGCTTTGACCAAATGGTTTTCCCAATCTTCTAAAGTGTGAAGGATATCCAGTCTTTTATTAAAATCCCGTTTCTCTCCCTTTGGACTGAAATCTGCAGGGTATTTATCTCTAGACACATCCCTCAGCCCCACCTTCACCCCGTTTCACTCTGAGGGATTGCCTGGAGGCCCAATGCAATTGAAAAACGGCTGGGTCCCAAGGTCCCAATAGGCGAACTTCCCACTCCAGGCCCTCCTCCTTCTCCCAGGTGTCCCATGTGTGTTCCTCCAGTCCCACTGGTCAGGGAAGCTTCCCTCATCTTAGTATGAAGACTGTTTCAAATCTTGGCTTCACTTCTAAGCAGGAGTATGACTTGGTTAGATCTATCAAACCCTCTGAAATGAAGTTTCTTGATTTGTACAACCAGAATGATTGTTTCCTCCAAATTAGTGTGAAGATTCATTAAAAAAATAAAATCCCTAGCCTTGTGCGTGCTTGGGTGGTGAGGTTTGGAGACCTATGAGCACAGACTCTAACATGGAATTTTAAAAAAGAAGTCAACTAAAAGGTAGAAGGTGAGGGGAGTTGCACACAGGTGTGAGAAAGCACAGTGTCTGGGCTGATTCTGTCTGAATTCAAATCCCAGCATCTCTTCTCACCATATTTTATGATCTAGGGTAAGTTAATTACCTACTTTGTTCCTCTTATTTCCTCCATAGTGCCTATGCCTCATGAGGCTATTGTAAGCATTAAATAAAAGGAGAATGTGCAGGTAAAGGGCTTAGTCAATGTCTACTCCTAAGTGCCCATGAAAGACAGCTAATTTAATAAAATGTGGAAAGTGCAAGGAAGGAAATTACTCTCGAGACTAATAGCTGTTATTTCTGTGATGTGATTATGAGCATTTTTGCTGTGTTTTGATACTTTTCTACATTTATCAAAAGTTTTGAAATGAACACGTGTTACATTAAAAAAAAACCATAAACTTCATACATTTATGGGTAAGGAGTGATTTGCCCACCCTAATAGAAGAAATAATTATATCTGTACACTTTGTAAAATGTCTCCTTCCCAACCCATACCACTGTGTTAAAAAGATGAAGTACACTTTTCCAGAAATGATTGTTATCACAAGAATCTTTAATGTTTAAAGTTTACTCATGATGGGGTTGTATTTGTATTTAGTAAAGTGTGCCAAGTGCCCACACTGAGACCACTTCGGTTCACATCACCACACTCCACACTGATGTTTCCTGTGCCCAGCGAAGTCATAAAGAGAGGGGCCTTGACTTTTCTCTTGGTTAGGCCAGCTTTACTGGTGAGTTCTTCCAAACTCTCCAGGAGCAGTCTACCCCAATACACATCATCCGTTCCATGTAAAAGAATAAGATGGGAAACTTCTCAATGTATTTCGTTAAGTTTAGCACGTCTCTGGTACAAAAATTCAAGAAAGGTAGCACAAAAGCGAAAGCACCAACCAGGCTTACTTATAAACAAACATGCACAAATTCTACACACTACCTAATAGTACTGAAATGAATACATTGCATTAAAAAGTATAAAAGCACTGTACTGAAAACTTAAAGTTACACGTGAAATACTGCACTGTAAATCCTGAATACTCTAATGTCCCACTCCCACCCTCCACTGCCCTGGTGAGGGTCAGAAACCATTAATCTGCCTCCAGACCTTTCTAGTCCTCGGAGACACTGCTGCGGGGGGAGTGGGCAGTGGGATCGGCCTCCCGCAGAGCTCTAGCCTCCTCCAGAGCCTCTCTGTACCGGGAAGGCCAGGCCTGGGGGTCTTTCTTAAACACCCTAGCCAGGAACTCCATGATTTGCATCTTAGTGATTTCTCGGCTGGCACGGGAGCCCCAGAAAAACTCGTACTCAGGTGGCTCAACGTGGGGAACGCGCTGGTATTTCAGGTAATTCTGCTGGACGAACTCCTCGGTGATGAGCTTCCTCACATCTCCAAAGGTGGAGTGCTTCTTCCAGGGCCGCAGCCCCAGGATGCGCAGCACGTTCCAGACGGCACTCTCCCTGGCCCCGCGACCCTTCACGTAGATGAGGCTCAGGATCATCAGCAGGAGGCCTGTCATGGGCATGCGGTTGCTCAGCGCCACCCTGTCCAGCTCCTCTGGCTCTAGCGCTTTGACGAGAGAGAACTCCATCGTGTGCAGGCTGGTTAGCCTCAGGTGCAGCCCGAACACTCGGGCGAGGATGAGGCTGGTGCGCCTGAGAATGCTTCTGCACCATTTCTTGTAACTGCCGATGACATCCTTCACCATGTCTGGGAACCAGATGATCATCCTCTTCTGGTCCTTGACCAGCACGTACCACATGAGCTCGTGCGCCTTCTGCACCAGCTGGGCTGGGGCGGGCGGCGCTGGGCCGGGCTGGGCCGCGCTCAGGGCCTGGTGGGCGCGGCCTTCCTCCGCGGCCTGCTGCAGGGCTTTCGGGTCTCCCTCTTCGGCTGGGGCCCGGGACGGCGGCGAAGCCACAGGGGCGTCGGTCGGGCCTAGGGGAGGGCTGTCTGGCTCTGGGAGGGTCGCGGCCTGAGACTCCGGCGGAGAGGGCCCCCTGGGAACCCCAGAGCTGCCGTGCGTCTCGGAGTCGGAGGCCTCAGCTACCAAGCTGGGGTCGCACCCATCCTTACTTTGTTCGGACATGTCTGCTCCGTCTGACAAGGGCAGGGCCTCTGCGTCCAGGAGCTCTTCGAACCTGCACTCCCTCCGCGGACTCCTGGAGAGGAAGTGCGCGTTGCTGCGCGCGGCGCCTTCCGCAGCGGCCGGGCGGGGGCGGGGCGGCGGCGAGCCAGGCCTCTGCGCCTGCGCGTCCGCGAGCCGGCGGGCTGAGGCAGGCCGGGCGGGGTCCCGGTCCCGACGGGGCGGGTGTGCGCAGGGGCTCCGGAGAGGGGAGCCGCGGGCTGGAATGACGGGAGCATCACCCCGGGGTCCCGTGCGGGCTGAGGAGGGCGGGGGCGGGGGGCAGGAGGGGTGGGAAACGGGTGAGCCCGGGGGCAGGAGCAAGTATGAGGAGAAAGGTGGTAACTTCTGTGATGCAGAGGTCGAATTTCTCAGGAAATGCTCACCTGGGTGTAACCAGAATCAAGTTACACGTAAAAGTCCCGGAGAAAGGTCTAGGCTGGTGTGTACACTGGGTCACACGACAGTGAGTTTGGTAAATTAAACAGAGGGAACAACTGGGATTGCCAAGAAAAAGTGTCAACTGTGAAGAGGATGTCTGAGATTGGAATCCTGAGAAAGACCAATAAAAAACGGAGTCTCTACCAAATCAGTGAGGTTATAAAATGAGAAATGCCGAATCCACGTCCAAACGGAACTTTCCTGGAGATCACACACTAAGAACAGTGTTGGTGTTTTAGTAGTCCTTGGCTTTGGTTTTCCGCTTCCCTGGGTCATTCTGATTTCATTTTAATTATTCCATTAAGATCCCATCATACAAAGATTGCCGTGTTTACTAGCTCGAACTTGTATAATGTCTTTTTCCCTGTTTGCCCAGCACCTTCCTTCCCGTCTTGACTGCCGCGACGTCCGTTCTGTGTTCATGTGGAAACTCCAGTTTCTCACCCCACCCCCACCTTTCCCAGCCGCTGACGAGTCCCAAGTGGCGGCCATCCCAAATCCCTCCCAAGACTTTTCTTTTTTAAACATGGGTTCCATAAATCCTATCCGGCATTCTTTCTCAGATTACCAGCGATATGAGCTGCAGCATACTGGTGGCTGTATTTCCCAACTTTAGAAAAAATGGCCAAAAACAAAGTTGCCGCCCCAGACAAACATCCCTGAAGAAAGGGATGTGTGTACATTCCCTAGGCTGCTCAGGGTCCCTGATCTGAGCTTTCCTGGGTTCCCTGAAGCCAACAGCTTCTTAAATCTGCCATCTAGAGTCTGGTTATTGTCACTTGAAACTCTAGGCATATTTAAAATGTTGTCTTGACATTTCCAGAGTCCTGTCTCTATCTGCCTTATCTCCTTTCTCATTTCTCACTTCATTTTTTTCCCAAGTAGATTAACTTCAAAGGGTTTTCTATGTTGTCTGTATCTGGATTTGCACGCATGTATAACTCAGCAGCACAGCCCCACACCAGCCCGTCCATCAGGACTGCTTCAGCTTTCATTTCCCAAGGATAATTCCTCCGGATCTCTCAGACAATTCTCAGTTGGATTTTTTTTCCCATTTATCATTTTCTTCTTTAATTAATGGGTTTGTATTTTTTAGTACATCTTACAGAATTGTGTCAGTTATATTCATGTTTTAAAATTATTATTTAAGAATGTGTCGACTTGATTTATTGCTCCATTCTTCTTAAAAATAAGCCTTTCTTGCATTCTGTCTCCAATGGTTTTCTTTTTTTTTTTCTTTCATTTGAATATTTATTCTTTTCTACCTATTTGGGGTTAACTACTAAGTTCATTTAATGTATTTTTAATAGTGAAAATGTTTAAGGCTATTATTTAAATTTCTGCTCAGCTTTGACCATGGGCCATAATTTTTGCCATTGTGAGGTTATTAAAATTACATCCTCATATTTCATCCTCCTAGATTTAATGGATTCAGGAAGTTAAATCACAAGTGTGGGCACAGCAATTTTAAAAGTAAATAAAAGACATATATAAAAAGTACAGAAGCAATTATAAAAACAATTATAAAAGCATAGCAATTACAGAATTATAAAAGCTGCTGCTACACAAAGATATCAGAGCTCTGGCTGGATAGCTCCTTGGGTTTCAGCTGCTCCCTGAGTTGGAGTGGACCTCATTCTGGTGAAGTTGCCCATGGACAGCAGTGTACACTCCCCTCTACTACAGCTCACTTGATACCTCACTTCTGACAGGAGGGTTGTTTCCTACTGTGCCAGCTCCTGTGGACTGGGGCCACTATGGGAGATTACGTGGGGGGTGTTTAAAGCATAGGGAGTGATATCAAGTTTGGAACCAAGTGCAGGGTAGACCCCCTAGTGCTGCCCACCCATGAAACCCAACTGTATGCCTGCTAAAGTGATGTCATTTTCTTCCCAGGAAAAGGTCTGCTGTAGAGGCTCCACTTCCCACCAAGGAGAAAATTCATGGAGAAAAGGGTGGGAAAAAGTAACACTAGTGGTAACTTTTAAGTAGTGAAAGTGGAGGGATGCATAGGTCCACAGCTTGGTAACTACCTCATAAAGTGCCTACGCATAAAACCAGAGATTCAGACCTTCAGAACACTAAGGAAAAGGACGGATGACACTACTCATGAGACAACCACTATTTCATGAATTCAAACGCCAAGATGTGGGTCTGGAGCTCCAGTGATGCTCTGGGAATGCTGGGGATAAATTAGGCTTGCTGGGTATCTGCAGGGCTGGGTCTGTTGTTTATGGGCAATGAATCTTCTCATGGCCAGCCACTTAGAAGCAAAAGCCTTAAGTCTACAAAATATTTCCCCAAAGAAACTCTTGAAAGGCTACTCTTTAAATCAAGATTTTGTAAATAGAAGTGTTCCATGGATGCAGGAAGTATATAGGGAAGTCATAACTTAAAATATCTTGCAGTTTTGCTGGTGGGTTACTTCAAACACTGTAATGTGGAACACATTACACAGCTGTGGAATAGGCTGTTCTTGGCAGACTCTGGAATAGGAGGAGAAGCCTGTTCTGGCATTGGTTTCCATAGCGAACAGAGGAGGGGGGGTCACCCCAGGGCCTCTAGTGGACCGTGCGCATGCATACTGCACAGAGACCCAGAGGCCCCAATGAAATGTGAATCCTCCTTGCTCTTTCCTGTCAACACAGGCAGCAGCCTCCACCTTGGAGCCCCCATATGGGCCCCAAATGCCTTGCAGGCCAAGGAATTGAGACAGAGAACTCGCTTAATATGTTCAACAAATATTGAGCAATGTCTGTCATGTGCCTGAAAGATTTGCATTTTAGAAAAGTAGCTCAGTCTGAAGGGAAATCAGTTACATTGGGATTGTTTGGCAAGTCGGCCCCTTTATGTTAGAAAAGAACAAGGAGTGAGAACAGGCAGCGCAGCTCTGCCCGGCTGGGAAGGGGTGGGGAGACTCTGCCCTGGGCCCTCACCACCTCCATTCTCCCTAGGCGGACACTAACATGCTTGTCCAACTGAGGCCCAAGGACACGCACTGAAATGGGAGACTTCCTAATCCTGCCCAGACCTACAAGGAAGCCTGCCAGTGGACTCGGGGACTGACAGTGCTAGGAGGTCAACTGAAATCAGTTAAGACAGGAGGTGGCGGCAGGAAGAGAAGAGGCAGAGAAACCAATTAGGAGACTTTTTGTGGGACACCACCTGTGAAAGGATTATAGCTTCCATTTCGTGTTCATTAAGCAACTGTTTATCAAACACATTTTTAGACATTGTGTCTGAGGATAGAATGCAAAGGAGAGATGTAGTCTATGCTGTGGAGAAAAAGGCTATTAGCAAACAAATAAGTTATTAAATAAAAATCATGTGTCATGGTGATGCATATCACAAAGAAACCTCAGTGTGTTGCAGAGAATAGAACAGAGGTATCCTATGTTCAATACGGACCCTGGGAAAGGTGTAAATAATAAGGAAAGATGAAGAGAGACTGTAAATACTGTGGACAAACCGGTTTCTGTCTTGGGGGTGGCTAGGACTGAGCAGTGCTATGTAGCTTGTATATAGAGGTACCACTTCCTGATACTATTTGGAGAGAACCTTGGAAGAGATTGGATGTGTCTAGAAGATGTATAGATATATAGGTCTCGGGAGAGAGGCCAAGGCTGAACAGAGAAGTTTGGGAGATAAAGATAGTAACATCACCCTAAATGAGTGTCATGCACACCACAGAGATTAACACCTTTGTCCCCTTGCCCACACATATATAAATGCCCCCAGACCTGGGGTAGGCAAAAATAAAGTATAAGAAAAGGAAAAAAGACACCTTTTCCCATACAATGCCAAAAGCCCTTTTATAGGCTGTGTAGTGTCTAGTTGAGAACCATTGAAAATAACAAGCAGAGGCGGGTGACGAAAGACAGAGCTGACTGACAGTCTCAGGTCCTTGAAGCCTCTTCCCAGACCATCATGTGACTTTCCTCACTGGATCTAATTCTGGGATATATTAAAATAGATAACTTCATCTTCAACAATCTTCTTGCAGATAAATTCTGTCCAAGAAAAACCTGGGTTCAAATTTGTATAATGTATAATTCTTTTTTTACATACATTTATGTGTGTGTTCACTGAGGATATGGGTCTATAGATTTTTTTTAGTATCATTAATCTACAATTACATGAAGAACATTATGTTTACTAGGCTCCCCTCTTCACCAAGTCTGTTCTTGATACCAGGGTATTAAAGCCTTATAAAATTATCTGGAGACTGTTCCTTCCTCTTCTATTTTGTGGAAGAAAACGTGTAGAACAGGTTTTATTTACTCTTTAAATGTTTGGTAGAATTTTTTCCTTTAAACTGTCAATACCTAGAGATTTCTTTTTCAGATTGTTTGTAAATACAAATTAAATTATGTAGCTTGTTGTTGGCATATCAGTTATCTTGTACATGTTCGATGAGTTTTGGTAGTTTGTGGCTTTTAAAGAATCGGTCCATTTCATCTAAGTTGTGGAATTTATGTGTGTGATGGTGTTTGTAGTATTTCCCATTATCCATTTAGTGGTCAGTTTATCTACTAGGTCCACTCTGGCTTCTTCATCTACACTGGGGACACACATACACACACACACACACACACACACACACACACACACACACACACACTCTACAGCTTTTTTTCCAGACAGCTCTCAGTCTTCAATATA